GACAAATACAATATATAGCAATAATTTTACAAATGTAATATTCTTCCTATAGTCGACTATTGTAAATATATAAAATTTATGTTTTATATATATATATATGTATACTTTTAGGTGATAATGAGAGTGGAAAAACTACGCTTATAGCTAAACTACAAGGTGTAGAGGATCCAAAGAAAGGTTCTGGACTAGAATTTGCATATATCGATGTGAGAGATGATTACCGAGACGGTTAGTATGAAATAAAAATGGATATTCAAATTATCACTGCAGCTTAATTTTAGTGCAATATTTTTTATTTCTTTGCAGATCACACAAGACTATCCGTATGGGTTCTAGATGGAGACCCGGGTCATGCAAATCTTTTGAGATTTGCTCTGAACAAAGAAAGGTTTCCACATACGCTTGTTATGTTAGTTGCTGCCATGACCACGCCATGGGCAATTCTTGATCAACTTCAATCATGGGCGGCATTGTTAGGCGATCATATTGACAAATTACCTTTAGATAATGATACTAGGCAACGATGCAGACAGCTTAGTAAGTTGAATAAAACAGAAATATAATATGTAATGATATACTATTGTTCGAATATTATTAATATTAATATCACTTTTTACTTTGATTGTTATTACGTTTGCCACTTCAGTTCTTTATCTCTCTAATTAAAGTATAAGATTTGCAATGCGAGTAGAGAGTAAATTTCAAATTTCTTGAGAAACGTGGCATTGTTATATATACATATTCGATATTGCTCTGCTAGATATTAAGAAGTGGCAGGACTATACCGAACCAGGAGACGAACTGGATCCTGGGAGTCCTCTGCGACGTACTAGTCGTAATTTGGATGATGACACCGCTGAGGGATTACCTTTGCCAGAAGGAGTACTTACAACCAATTTGGGCCTAGATGTTGTCGTAGTCATAACGAAAACTGATTATATGTCTACTCTCGAAAAAGAACAAGATTATAAGTGAGCATCGAATGAATGAAGAATTTGTAGTAACAAATCATTAGCAAACATTAATTTCGTATGATTATTTACTTTTTTCTTATAGAGATGAGCATTTCGACTTTATGCAACAATGGATTAGGCGGTTTTGCTTACAATATGGTGCAGGCCTCTTCTACACGTCGGCGAAGGAGGATAAGAACTGTGATTTGCTTTATAAATATTTAACACATAGGATTTATTCTTTACCATTCAGAACACCGGCATTGGTCGTCGAAAAAGATGCAGTACTTATGTAAGAACATCTGACATGACTGAACAAAATTCTTTCAGTCGTTCATGCATTATTTTAAAATTATTTGTACATTGCAGACCTGCTGGTTGGGATAACATGAAGAAGATTAGTATTTTGCATGAGAATTTGCAATCCATGAAAGCGAATGATTACTATCGTGATGTTATCGCACAACCAGCAACGAATCGAAAAGTATGCTTCATATTATTGTATTGCTTCATATTATTGCTTTACATTCTTAATATATATGACTTTTTTAATATAATGTAAATTTATTAGCTGTTAAATATTTAATCTATTGATACTATTATATATAGTGCGTTGCTAGAGAAATGGAGATTCAGGCGGAAGAAGAGCAAGCTTTCCTTGCGCGACAGCAAGCAGCTCTATCGGGCCTGAAAGATCCTACTCGTTCTCCGACAACTCGGAATCAGGCAAGCCCTGGACCAGTTATTCAGGTTATACCATTTATAAATGGAGCATGCTCTTCATGTTGCGTGTCAAATCAAAGAACCATAGTACTATCACTAATTCTTTCATCGTCACTATAAATCGTGCGAGTGATTCATTAATCTCATCCCTTATATTCAATACAGAATTATTGAGTCTGTAACCTGATGTACATTTGTGTCAATTGTTTCATTCATTATGCAGTGTAATTGACATGTTTCGTTCATCCATACAGCTCATCCATTTACGTGATGTTAAAAGTAAATGTATTTTTGTCGTATTCTTCGTATTATGAGCTTATGCCTTTTAGAAAACCTGCTTAATGTCTCATGAATTCATTTAATAGAATGATAATGTAGTTGCATTACATTAACGTAGCGACATAATACTTTATCATATGCAAAGTAATTTTTATTTAATACAGTAATTTAATCCTGAAGCCGATAAATCATGGCGTAAATTATGTACAAAAATTTCCAGTCATTGTACAATCATCATTGTTTAACACTCCACGAAATTTTAATTCCAGCTGTCATCTCATGTGGTTATTGCAGTTAACATTTGAAAGCATGTTCTAATCTATGTGGTATGATCTGTCCATTGCGACTACTAAATTCCTTTTCTCAATAATAGGCGAGCACTATAATGATTTTGTGAATAGGTGGCGTCACCGAACAAGAAGCTGGATCCCAAGAGTAGCGGCGCAACACCGTCCGGGGAAGGTGTTTTAGCTAATTTCTTTAATTCTCTCCTTTATAAGAAGACTGGAGTGCAGCCTGGTTCTCCGGGAACACCGAGCAACGTAGGAACGAATCCCATGAAACTTGGTAATAACTAGGATCCGAATGTCCGAGCTCTCTGCTCTATATAATAATGTCTACTTATAATGAAACTATACTATAGAGACATTTCATACCTCAGATGCTACACCAGTGGACAAAGCGACGATGTGTAACGATGCAGCAGCGGAATTAGATCGTCTCACTCGGACCAAGAAACTTTCTCCACCCAACCTAAACTCTTCGTCTGAATGTTAAAGATAGCGTTTTTTCTTCGCGGTCCATTAATACAAAATAAAATAAATAGTCGAAGTTTCGTTGCCATTAGACAGAACTCAAACATAAACTTGAAATGTCTTATAGCCCACTCGTTATAAATGAGAGAGATCATAACATAATGATGCGATGGGTCGCGAAGAAGTAAAATTTAGCTCTAATCAATGATAATTTAACCGACACATCGCAATGAAGACAAATTTAAAAAAAAAAATATATATATATATATATATATATAATCTGTCTTGCAACTCTGCGACAGCGAATGTCATAATCGATTAAATATCAATAATGAAGCAGAGTACAATTAGAAAGCTATTAAATTAATGTAATTAAAATATTTAATATAATATTACCGAAATATATATGCTTACGCACATGTTGTCCTAGCGCCTGATCATAGTAAATTATTTAGCAATGCCCGTGTACGTGGAAACGGATGCGCGGTTTTTTTTTATCATTCTATATATTTACATACGAATGCACATCTTTATCTCTTCTTTGTAAACAAATACTCTTTTTATGTTATATTCGATCGTTTTTTTTATGAGATAGTCTCCATGACGGCTCATTACTCTGCATTCGGTCTAATTTTAACAAAGTGCCGTTAGCGTTGCGAAAATGTGCGAATGCGTGAGATAGTCTTTTATACGAATTGTTCATAAAATAAAATGGAAGAATCCTTTTAAAGAAAGACACATTGCAGTCTTCAGATTTAGGGATAGCTAATGGTACGAAACTGGGGAATAGATGTCCACAAATTGCGCGTGTAAATTCGATACTTTATAGAGTTTTAGCCGATATATTATTCAATTCAAGAAAATTCAAGTCAAAACAGGCGAGCAGAGACATGTACATTAAATTATCAACTAAATGTGGCTGTATGTATATGAAATTCAAATTCTCAATGAAAATAAATAATTTTTCGTATATCTTGTCTCTTATTTTTAATCCGAGCAACATTAGTTACAATTCCACTAAGCGATAATAAACGAATTTGTATAACGAGTTTATATATACAAAATTCCTTTATTGGATCAGTGCAAAAGTTCATGTCCGATTTGTGAATAAAAGTTGAGCAGTTGTTATTGTAAAAAAATCTTTATTAATCAATGATGTATTCGCCAACATCATTTTCCAACGTTCAACTAATTTATAGATACCACATTTGAAAAAAATTATGTGGTTTTTCAAGAACAAAGAATGCGGTGATGTGATTTTTGACAGCCTCAGTTTTATAATGACCGAAACAAATAATGAAAGGTTATGATATCCGAATAATATAGTGAATGCAATAAGATTTCAACTGTTTCAATTTGTCCAGAGTCATTTTCGAAGTGTCCAGCATTGTCATGATGGAAGACGACGCTTCTACAATTAAGTTCGAGCATTTTTCTTTGATTACTGTATCCAATTTAATTGTTAACAGTACTTCTTTGAATCAATCATTAGGCCAACAGGAAGCAGCTCAAAATGAGCCTTGACAATCCCACTAAACAAACAGTAAAACCTTCGAATGCAACTCTGCTTTGGCAACTGAATCTGCTGGTTTGTTTCCTTCTAAGTCTGTGTTTGACTTTGGTATACAGTACACATTTTTACAGTTACCAGTCATCAAACGGTCCAAAAAAAAACCTCTTCAAGTGTAAAGAATCGGCTGCAGAGATGTGGTCCAACTTGTTTTTTTCGGACAACGAATGCGATACCCAAGTGTCGAACTTCAGATTCAAATGAGTCCCATCTTCTTTAAATGCCGAAACGCGGTTGATCGATCAATATTTAGGGCCTCAGCAACCTCTTTCGTTGAAATATATGTATTGTTTGTTAATGTACGCAGAACGTCGTCATCAATGACAAAAGGACGCCCAGGATTTGTCTTCGAAGTTGAAATCACCACGAAATTTAGCAAATCACTTCTTCACCGTTCGAAAGGCTGGTGCATAGTCCAAATAAACTTCTTGAATATTTTTTATCACAGCGCCAATTTTTTCTTTATTTCTTTCCGAAACTCGTAAAGCATCACATGTCGAAAATGTAACTTTTCCTTGTCCATCTTCAATTATTTTTTTCACGATTTAAATTCAAACAAACCAAACATTTCTGATACTCAAATGATACTTATGACTGTTATCTTTCCATCGATATATGTAATATGCATACATAAACAACACAGAGTCATGCTGCTTCACCAGTTCTATCTATACGAATCGGACACGAACTTTTGCATTGATTTAATATTATATTAGAATAAAATACATCAAAAAGCAATCAATAATATAATCTTCGCTGTATAGAACATACGCTATAATTATCGCAGCTCAGACACTTGTCTTTATTTATAATATCGTATAATTCATATTATATATTTATTATCATACAATAGTTATATGTATTAAAATAAAATTCAAAAAAGACAGTAATACAATATATAAAAATACTGTCGAAATAGGAATGGCCTTCAAATATAAATCATCCCATTTTATAATCATTCTTACTATTTTTTGTCTAAGATTATAATTTATCAATCGTTATGATGTATAGAGGAAAATCTATTATGAGATAGCCCAGTGAGAAATGATAATGGAATCGACATCAATTCGACGTTGAAAGTGTCAAATCGACATCGAATCAACATTGATTCGATATGATTTCATTGTCATTTCTCACTGGGAGACGCCTAATATGAGATAGCGTTTCTGCTAAACTTAAACTTACTTTCTGCTAGCGTTTCTAATAAACGCTATCTATTGGTTCATCATGAATTTATTGCTCTTGGAAACTATTTAGTAGAAAATTCATTATTAGATCATGCCTGTAGTCATTGTAAAATAAGATTTTATAATTTGGATGTTTTCAAGTTTCATTGAGATGAGCATTTAAACCTTGTTTATTTAATAAATAAATATTTAGCAATAAATTCTTCATGTAGTGATAGAGTAAAGTCGTACTAATAGAAAAATATAAAATATGTTGAATTATTTAATTACAGAAGTTAGATTTGATGTAAAACTATAAGGCGTGAAAATCGTAATGTGAGATACCCAGGGTATTCCTAATATGAAATAACTTATGCTCCTATGTTATAGTAAAAATCGTTGCTAAAGTATAAATGTTATTGTATAATAATAAAAAAGACAACCGGAATAAATATCGAGTGCCTATATCTGTGATGCTTGATTCCAACTACTCGAAAACAAGTTCTGCGATAATCTATCGCATGCTTATTTTTTGCGTACGCTGGTTGTGTTTGTTTGTATTTTAGAAACATTAAATAAAGTTTTTTAATTACAATGATATACTTTGCGTTTTACTATCGATTTCTCGGGGCATTTCATATTAGGAGCACAATATTTTGACTTTGCTCACTTTTACATTTTTTTAATTTAAAAAAAAATGGAAAAATTTGAATTAAATTTTATGTAACATTATCTTAAAGCTTATTAAATTCCCTTCAAAATGATTATTATTTTATTTAATTAAATTCTGCCTATAGACTTCTAGCATTTACCCAAAATGAACTCGATCTCTCATAATAGGGGCTTTTCCTCTAATACTACTAATTTTTGTGATTGAGCTAACCATTAAATAATTGAACACAATATAAATTGGTAATAAAAATCAAATACAATAAAACTTTCACTTATTAATTATAAACAAAAATGCAGTTACGAAAAATATTTATAAGAAATGCATTGAATAGCGAAAAAAGGAAAAGAAGATAATTATCTTTAAATTCATAAATCATAATAGGTATATAACAGAATCATCAATGACAAATCTCCTTTAAGAAATATGAAGCTAGTATTTTTGGAATATTTGTTAAAAAAGGTGC